CCCCAAAACCCCAAAACCCCAAAACCCCAAAACCCCATTAGCTTGATCATATTGTTCGAATGATTAAATTTATTAAGAATCTACATTATAATACATCTAATATTCTTTCATTTCCCAGTGAATTTGGATGCGAACTATCCAAACTTAGCTAATTGTCCAAAAGATAATCTACTCTTGGCTTGATCGAATATGAAGCTACTCATCTTTTGCTTGTAATTCTTCTCGCACTTGATATAGGCCATTAGATTAGTGAAAGTCATAATATAACTGAAGATGCATATTGATGCGTTAGTTGGGCTGAAAGATAAAAGTGACCATACGAATAGAAGAGCCCAGACTACAGGTGCCACATATGTACTAATCCAAAATACTCTCTTATTAATATTGTCTAGTTTGGCAGCTATATTTATATTAGTTAAACTAACCTAATACTTACGCTCATCAAATGATTAGAAATTCCACTATTCTCTGCCGTTTTCATCTATGTATTATTGCCATCTCAGTCCAACTAGAATTCTACAAAATATATATATTAGGAAATCATAGAGTTTAATCTGAGTGTACCAATACTTAATTTAATAGAACTTACCTTCCTGTTATGTTCTTAACTACATAAAAATCGAATGCTGATAGAACAATGACTATGATATAGACCATAATCAAATTGGAAATGAATAGGTTTAATAGAAGGTAAGAACCTATGGCTCCGCTCTTAAATAATAGAGTAAGCATACAGATTCCTGGATTGCTTGCGTTTGTTAGGAAACTTGGAATTAGTTTCATTGTCCCAGACTCCTCATCTTTAGATTAATTGGTGCTATTTACTGGGTCATTAGTAGCACCTAACTAATACTGAGCATTTTAGAATTGATCTTTTGGTTTGGGAGGTTATTGCTTGCTTTTCTTGTTAGTTGTTGATGAATTAGTCGAAGTTGATGCAGTGTCGATTGGGATATCGAATTTTAAATCGCTTAAGTCTTCGTCCATTTCTAATATTGCTTTACTTTACTGTTAATAATTTATAATTAAAATTAAAAGCAATAAATAGGTGAATAATTAAGAGTTAATGAAAAAATTGGTTTATTTTACTTGCAGGCACAATAAAGTGCACACAATTTAAAGCTATCTCATAAAGAAAACTTTAAAAAAGAGATGTTAAATTGATATAATTCGATTATCACATATTTTATTTAGACTGAAGGGGTAAGAACCATAGTAATACACTTTGCCCAAGAGTTGCTTGGAAATTTCTGAGGATTGAGCCTCTACTATACTTTTCAATGTCCTTTACCTATTTATACTCAATAGTGGTTACATTTAAACTCGTGATATATAAATGGAATCCAAACAGATAACTTAGGAATATCAGTATCACTCCAGATCCCAAAAGATTGGAAATTCTAAGTATAGCGTAAAGCATATCATGTTGCTAAAATTGCTAGAGGAAATTAGCAACCATAAATTAATAGGCTATATGAAAGCATAGATTCATCAGCAAGCACAATATTGTATAAAACTGGACTTGCATAAAGTATTTGTAGTTTCTCTAACCAATACAGTTTCCCACCCAGGGACAGTGATGATCCATTCGAAGCACGCAGGAATCACACTAGCTACAATGATGAGACCTTGGTGGTTTTAACAAATCGCACTTTTAGCAGTAAAACTCTGACTCCACTTTCATTATGAATGGCAGCGAGGATGAATCAAGAGAGTCTCTATTGATTGCATTTATATCGTCAACTATTGAGTCTTGATAATTTTACTTCATCATTGGACTTGTCTTTAATTCTGTAGTCAGCAAACCGTAGGGTTGCTATCTAGATGTTTCGATACAGATCATAGGTTATTCCTTGCATTCCTCATCATTGCAGTCATTGTCATTTTGGCCTTACATAAGTTGAATTTAGGTATCATCTGTAGTGAATCTTCTCCTTTTGTTCTAATTTTACATTTGTTTAGAGGAGTTTAGATCTTGTCCATAATGAGATTCCACTTTATTCTGTCCAATATGCTCAACATATGGCATGTGAGTTTATTACTGAGCTGTATACTTCAATTGTGTAGTTGACCCTAGTAGCTGTTTACTTTATCTATTTTGAGTAGTATTAGCTTATTGTTGCAAGGGTGGTGTATTTGCCAAACCACTTCTACTATGATTTGACATCAAACTCTCATGTATAGACCTACTATCGATATCTATTGAGGAGTCAGTTTTGGTGATATTTATAAGCTACACATCCTATGTGTTATTTTGAACTCTATTTTAATTTTCTATTAGGCCACTCTTAGTCACATCAATCAGTTTTTTCTCAAGTTCAAAGTCATTGTTGTAGTTTCCATTATTGTTTCCTTGATATTCACCAATGTGCTAATAATTATTGTTCTCTTTAAAGTCATAGCGAGGCACTCTGCCCGGATGAGTAAGCACTGTCCTCAGATAGCTGATGATCACCAGTATTCCAAAAGTGTAGTATATTGCTTGCAATAATACGACTATGAATTGATTCTAATTAAGAAGTTAAAATTAGATTATCCAATATATTTAGACTTACTTTAATCACTTGGAGCAGCTCTGAAAATACCAACACATGAAAAGTTAGAGTAATATAGATTGCGAAGAAGCCAGTTACAGGGATAAGCAGAGAGAGCAATAGTTTCTCATGCAGCACTCGATTTGCATACATTGATATATGTTATTAATATTTATTTTTACAAATTATTATCTAAATATTATTCTTATCGTCAGGGGTTTTGGGGTTTTGGGG